TGCAGTGGCGGATCCAGGATTGGAAAGTCAATTGGGCGGAACTTACATACTAAACTCGATGGTACGAGTGAATTTCATTAATAATCAGAAAAAGATACACCTAGTCAGGGGGGACGTAATAAGCCTTACCCTCAAATACATCTATATATAAATAAAAGTTTAACAACAAAAACAAAAACCACAAGTAAATGTAATACAAAACATCACTAATTAAATCTAAAATTTTACCCTGCGAGACTTAGAGGTCTTAAATTCCTCAATTATCGATTGCATTAGTGATACTATTAGAAAATTCTCTTTCAATGTGGAGGGTCATGCAATCAGCAAGAAACTCATCAGCTATGGTGCTTCAAAGCCGATTCTGAATAATTCTCATACATGAAAAAGCTCGTTCCGTTGTTGCTGTAGAAACGGGAAGAGTCAACACCAACCGAATCAACCTGTTGATCGAACAATAGTTCTCTACCAAACTTGTTTCCACTAATTGTTGACATAAATGAGGAAGAGTGTTGGTTTCCTTAAAGCAAGGAAGGCGATGTACATCATTTTCAAAATACCTCAACTCTATTTCCAAATCTTTCAACTCATTTGGAAGGAAATCAACAGGATAGAATTTCTCAGCAAGTTTACATATATGCTCAATATTGAATGACTTGAATGAATTACGAGGATCCAATGCTGAGCAAAGAATAAGAAGTTCAACAGTTTGCTCTGGAAATCTATCATTTAACTCCCTTAACATGCAATCTATAGCATCATTGAATACATCAACGCGATAGTAATGCTCAAATGTAATAAAATCTTTTTGTTGACAAGAACGATGTGTGCCCGTCATATAACGAGCACCCATATCAGGAACATCAACACCATGTAGTTCACAAAATGATACCACACTACAGAATAAATCATCCCAGCCATGTACCCTCATATCTTGAAGCTGCATTTTTGTGTTTTCAACAAAATTTAAAGCACTTACAATGTCTTGAGTTTTGGTCTGAAATACTTGACAAAGAAAATTGGTCAATCCCATAATTTTATCCATCAAAACCAATGAAAACACAAACTCAAAAGACATCATAGCAATATAATTACTCTCAGCATCGCCACGAAATTGTTGGTTAGGTCCATGATCACTGATTTCTTGAAGAAGTAATTTAGTCTTTTTAAATAAACACATCAAACTTGTAATAGAGGCATAATGAGAGCCCCAACGAGTGGCTCCAGCTCGTTTCAAACTACGAGCTTGATTAAGTCCTCTACCTGTCTCAAGTTCTCCAGAATCCAACAACCCATTGAGTTCAACTTTTCTAATTAAGTTTAACTCACTACGACGCTTAGGAGAAGCACTAACAAAATTCACAATGTTAGTCAACATTAAAAAAAATCTCCATAAAACTTTCACATCTTTAGCTGCACCATTTAATGCCAATTGCAAGCGATGAGCAAAGCAATGCACATAATATGCATATGGACAATCTTGAAGAAATAATGCTTGTAAGCCATTCCATGAACCACGCATATTACTAGCACCATCATACTCTTGACCACACATGTTTTCCACTAGAATGTCGTTATTACCAAGCACTTTGCATATCTCTTTTTTAAGAGTCAAGGCATTAGTGTCTACAACACTCACAATATCGAAGAAGCGCTCACGAATAAATCCATCACAATCAATCAACAAATCTTAGAATAATAGTCATTTGTTCCTTACCGGATTCATCAAGTGATTCATCAACTAGAATACAAAATTTGTTCTTCCCAAGTTCCTTACAAATTGTCTTCCTCACCTTGTTAGCAAAAATATGTAAGATTTGCTTTTGTTTGTCATGTGCAATGTATTGAGCATTTTGAGGAGCCTTATCAAGGAAAACTTTCTTAACTTCTATATTCATTCTTGCAAAAGACTTTATGATTTCAATGAAATTTCCTCGATTAGATGAGTCAACGGATTCATCGTGGCCTCGAAAAGCCAATGCTTGATTTGCTAGATACCTAATGCCCTCTATTGTGGTCGTAAGTCGCAACCGATTTTCCATCACTTGTTGCTTTGATTGCTTCTCTACCACTTTTTCAATATGAAGAGATGGAAAATCGGTTGCGACTTACGGCCACAATAGAGGGCATTAGGTATCTAGCAAATCAAGCATTGGCTTTTCGAGGCCATGATGAATCCGTTGACCCACCAATTCTCTTCCACTTTTGATACCCATCAACAATAAAGGTTGGGTGTGACTGATTCATGTCAAAAATGAAACAAGGAAAACAAAATACCTTATTCTTAGCAACTGAATACTCAAGCCAAGTGAATTGACCAAACCACTTTTTATTAAATCGACGAAAGTCCCGCCCTTCTAAGTGGCTTGGATAATCTTCTAACTCGGGTTGACATAGTCCTAAAAGAATATATGCTCTTCGCACATTATCTTGTTCATTCACCGGATATTTGCATATTAGACGATGTAATCCCGGATCACGCTCAAGATAATTGATATTAAAATCATGATAATCATCGACTCTTTGAGATTCAATTCTTTCAACTTGAGGCTTGATAATGGGAGACTCGGGAAGATTTTGCTCATCACATATTGGAATAGATAAAGAAGAGCTAGAAGGCAATGTACTAGATGATGACCCATCATTCTTTTTCTTAAAAAAAGAGAACAAGTTTTTTGTTCTCTTGGGATTCCGATTGTGATCCAACATAATCAAAGATAACCTATGAATAACATGTAAAATAAATAATTTAAATCAAACATACCAACAAAAAATCAAACAAATTCTAATAATAATAGCATCTCAACAATATCAACAAAGAACAAATCAAACATTGAAACATCTCAACAAAATTCCTAAAATCAAAGCCCTAATTAATTTCAACAAAATCACAAAATTATAATTCAATCTCTAAGTAAACCCTAGAATATTGAATTTTAAATTAAAACTATAATTAAAGATATATAGAAAATGAGAGAATTAGAAATTGCTTGTTGTTGTAGAAAGGAGAGGACAAGTTTTTGCCAAGTTGCCCACTGCCCACTCCCAGCCAATATAATAGGAAGATGCAGAAAATAAAGAGGAAAAAGGATGTTGTTGTCGTCGGGTCTGTAGAATAGGAGAGAGAAAAGCTGGTGTGCCAAAAGAGAAGAGACAAAAGCTGGGACCACTTTGAAGTTGGATGGGCAATGTGGGTATATTGGGTTAGCTTTTAAGTTTTTAAACTTGGGCTGCCCTTATAACATATATAGGTTTTTAAATAATAATAAAAACTTTGGATGGGCGGGCACCCACCCTGCCCTTCACACAGATCCGCCCCTGGGTAGACATTATCTAGAATGTGTCTAGGATAAGTGTGTGAGTACTTCTTGTAATCATATTTCTATAGTGGATTTGTGTTGGACTGAGGAGTCCCGTGGATTTTCTCCAAAGGTGGGGTTTTACCATGTAAAATAATTCTCTTTGTGTTCTTTTATTTTATTCCCAGCACGTTTCAGGATTGATAAGCCATATCAATCCTGCTACCAAAGTTTATTTTTGTTTACTTGATTATAATCTTGAATTGGCCTATTCACCCCCTTTAGGCATTTTTAGTCATCCTACAGGTATTTTCAAGAAGAAACAGAGAGATACCTGAGAGGAGAGGAGTTGTGTTCGTCGCGCTGTCTCGTTGTCACAGAACGAGGAGAGGAGCGATTTTGGAAGGAGTCGAACTGGAAGAGAGAGAAAAGAGAAACCCAACGCTACTGAAGGAGAGTTTTTGTTTTCTTTTTACCTACAACAACCGATTTATCTGGTAACTAACTCAACGGTGTGGATAACTCCACATCACCAACTACTCATCTAATAGTCTATAACAATGGGTGCATCCATGCGCCAAGCCCACTGTAAAATTTTCTCAAGTTTTATATTATATTGTCTTATTTTAATTATTTATGGCAAAGTTTAGCCTGGAAGTTAGCCGGAAGATTGATTAGTAAATACCCAACAACAACCATCGAGGCCAAGTCAAGTCCATAATAAAAAAGAAAGTCGACTATCAAGTCTTTCTTTTTATCAAGTCGTTTTTCTTATGGTCTAAGTCCGTTATCAAGGTTCAAGTCAACCCAATCAGAGCAGCCAGGAAATTTAGGATGCAACTTCACACCCACCCACCCAAACATATAGAAAAGAAAAGGAAAAGAGAAAATGGAAAAAAAAAGGTGTAGGCCATCCAATTCCACTGCCTCTGTCCTATTATAAATAACCTCCCCAATAATTATGATAACACACACTACTAGTACCGTCAACCACCAAACTTTAGCTCCCAAATTCTCTCTCTCTCTCTCTCTCTCTCCACTCTCCTATTCAGTCCCATCCATCGATCAGATTGTGATATGGCATCCCCTTCTACCTCTTTAGTGTTCACAGTGCGAAGGCGCCAACCAGAACTGGTGGCACCGGCTAAGGCCACACCCCATGAGTTTCAACAACTTTCTGATATCGATGACCAAGAAAGTCTTCGGTTTCAGATACCTGTGATACAATTTTATCGCTATGATCCCTCCATGCAAGGAAGTGATCCTGTGGCTGTCATTAGAGAGGCAATTGCAGAGACCCTAGTGTTTTACTACCCTTTCGCAGGTAGGCTTAGGGAGGGGCCTGCCCGGAAGCTTATGGTAGACTGCACGGCTGAGGGTATCTTGTTCATTGAGGCTGATGCCGATGTTACGCTACAGCAATTTGGTGATGCTCTTCAGCCCCCATTCCCTTGCTTGGAGGAACTTCTTTATAATGTTCCTGGATCGGATGGGGTTCTTAATTGCCCACTCTTGCTAATTCAGGTATATAGATATATACATACTTTTAGTATATATATTTCATCACTAATTACTTGTCCAACAAACTAATTCATGGCCACCTTAATTATATTTTAAGATAAAATACTAAGAAATAAAACACATATTATAACATAGTACGGCACGCCACACATAAAAATTTCATATATTTTCTGCCCATGTAAACAACACAATTAATTCTTCGCTTTTTCTTATGGTATTTGAATGTATTCTACCCAATCTAAAAGTTTGAAAAAATTAAAATAATTTGAAAATATACAAGGACATAAATGTAACCACCTTATTATATTTTTGGAACAAAGTATATCTTTGATTAAGAAAATTATATATAATGGTATTTCTGTTTTTTATTTTGGTAAATACCACAAGGTGTTCCCACATCCGAAAGGTGAGATTAATCCCCACTTGGGGTTCGACTTGCCCCTAACCACAAAATGCTTCCAACAGGTTTCGAACCTCAGTCTAAATGTAACCACCTTATTATATTTTTGGAACAAAGTATATCTTTGATTAAGCAAATTATTTATAATGGTATTTCTGTTTTAAATGTTGGAAGAATATTTAAGTTCCCATTTGTAATTAAAATTAGGTAATTGTTTATCACAGGCACGAGCAACGACACATCAATAAAAAGAGTATTTAATTAGTAAATAATTCACAAGGAGTAAAACATGTCTTTTTTTTTTTCTTTTTTTTTTCATAGTCTTCTTTCTCATTAGTAAGAATTATTTTCTCGCTGACCAAAAAAATATTAATATTATTATGGCGCCATTAGTTAACAGTGTTGTGGTGTAATAGGTGACGCGCCTCAAGTGCGGTGGTTTCATCTTTGCCCTGCGTCTCAACCACACCATGGGTGATGCAGCAGGACTAGTCCAATTCATGATGGCCGTGGGAGAGATGGCACGTGGCGCACGTGTCCCCTCCATCCAGCCTGTGTGGAAAAGGGAGCTACTGAAAGCTCGTGATCCACCGCGCGTGACTTGTACGCACCACGAGTACGATGAAGTGGCGGACAACCAGGGCACCATCATCCCACTTGATGATATGGCCCACCGCTCCTTTTTCTTCAGGCCCATCGAGATGTCCGCCATCCGTAGATTCGTTCCACAGCACCTAAGCAAGTGCTCCACGTTTGAGGTCCTCACGGCCTGCCTCTGGCGTTGCCGTACCATAGCACTTCAGCCAGACCCGGCGGAGGAGGTGCGCCTGCTGTGCATTGTGAATGCCCGTGCCAAATTCAACCCTGCTCTGCCCGTGGGTTATTATGGCAACGCGTTTGCGTTCCCGGTGGCTCTCACGACGGCTGGCAGGCTTTGCCAGAACCCGTTGGGCTACGCGCTGGAGCTGGTAAAGCAGGCCAAAGCTGATGTGACAGAGGAGTACATGCGCTCTTTGGCAGATCTCATGGTCATAAGGGGCCGGCCACACTTCACGGTGGTGGGGACGTACCTTGTGTCCGATCTGACGCGTGCTGGGTTTGGAGAGGTGGACTTTGGGTGGGGCAAAGCAGCGTATGGCGGGCCAGCCAAGGGTGGGGTCGGGGCCATACCTGGAGTGGCTAGCTTCTACATTCCATTCAAAGACAATAATGGCCAAGATGGGATTGTGGTTCCTATTTGCTTACCGGCCCCAGCTATGGAGAGATTCATCAAGGAACTAGATACCATGTTGAATGCTAATGACCAACCAAATAGGGTTCAGACGTCTACTACCTTTATCACATCTGCCCTGTAATATATTAAGTTGGAAGCATATATGTACGTATCTATCGCTGTTGGTATGAATTCAAACTCTCCTTGAGAGGTTGTAGGTTCAAGCCACATTGGTAATAAATGTCATTCCTAGATTATCCAAAACGAAAAAAAAATCATAAAATTTCAGTCTTTTATTTATTTACTAGCAAAAAAGCCTGCACGATGCTGCGGGTTTTGAAATTACGTAGACAAAGTAAGATTATTTATATATACAATGAGATTTAACTTATAGCATTATGCTTAACTAAAGAAGTAAAGTTGCAAAAAATGAAGTAATAACATATTTTACAGGCTATTTGTTATGTTAAAATAGTAGACACGTTTGTATATACATTGAGATGTTAATAGTGGGAAGCAGCTATCAAAATAGCTAAAGTTGGATAGTTTTGAGCAGCATGCTGTTTAATTGGGCGGGTTTTGTTTTGCAATTTCTTCATGACTTTTCTTCTCTTTGATGGAGGTCTTGACCTTGTTATAAAAAAGTGGGAAAATAGTAAGTGTTAATGTTGATGAATGGGGAATCGAGTTAGGACAATAATCATAAACATCTAATTATGTATAAACAGGAATAATATAATTTAACAATTTAATAAGAAAGTTATAAATGGTTTTCCAATCGAGGAAACACAAAGTAACAGAATTAAGAGAGCTAATGAGCAAGTCGTAGATGGTTTTTCAATTGAAGTAACACAAAGTAAACATATTTTAAATTTTGTGCTTATCTAAAGGAATTGTTATAAAAAAGTGGGAAAATAGTAAGTGTTAATGTTGATGAATGGGGAATCGAGTTGGGACAATAATCATAAACATCTAATTATGTATAAACAGGAATAATATAATTTAACAATTTAATAAGAAAGTTATAAATGGTTTTCCGAGGAAACACAAAGTAACAGAATTAAGAGAACTAATGAGCAAGTCGTAGATGGTTTTTCAATTGAAGTAACACAAAGTAAACATATTTTAAATTTTGTGCTTATCTAAAGGAAAAGTTGAAGAGAGGTATAATAATCATGGGTGGATGTATTGAAGAAAAATTGAAGAAAAGGATGTAAATATAATGTTTAGGCTTTTAATTCTTTTATGTGTTAGGTACATATGACAAAAATGTCTTTTGCCCTTATTTGAAGTTAAAATTACTTAAGAGTTTGACATTTCTGCTGAAAAACGGGTAGAGCCTCCCCTGAAAAATGGACATTTCCTAAAAAAATTCACCTGCAAAAATGACAATTTAATAGTATTATCAAATGTTCGGCATGCAAAAATTTTATTTATACGTAATTCAACAGTGATTTAAATGGTTTTTAGACCTATATAATAAGTAGAGATAATCTTATAATACCTTAATTGAAAGGAACCCAATATTAAAACAAAGCATCAATCAGAATATCACAAAAATGATGATTTTGTCAAATTCAACACAATTTGTTACAATTTAATATATAAAGATTGAGTGAAGAATGAAGGTATGAATAATTGAATATTATGCATGTAATATGTATTTAAATGAGATGAGTGAATTGTAAAAGAGAGAATACAAACTCTAATCTCGGGGTAGGAGAACTGGTTGCCGAACTGTCTTCGCTTGTTTTCTTCTTTAAGCCAATGATTGGTAAATCAGAATCTGATACAATTTCCTCCATGCTTTTTGTAGCAACAATTTCTTCAGATTTGTTTTTGGTTCGAACATGACTTAGAGAAATTCTAAATGGAAGAAAAAGAAATATATTGGCAAATGTTAGAAAATGCGTAAATACTGATATAAAGGAGTTAATTGTTATATAAATTTTAACCTTTTTGGTTTTTTTGATGGGCGAAAGGTAAAGAGAGCTCTTTTGACAGCGTCTTTAAATCTTTTTTTTGAAATTGGGGTAGCCTCTGTTATAGGAGCATCAGCTGAGCTTGTGGAAGATGCACTTGGAATTTGCTTTGAGAGAAGTGGGGTAATGGGTGGAACCATTTGGGTAGCAATGTTTTCTTTGTCATGTGCAGCCAAACTTTTGTCAGATGATTGCGATGTTGGTTCAAGAAGTGGCATTGTGTCGTCAAAGATTGCTTGAATGAGTAGATCATTTCTGTTGGAATCACTTCTCATGCTCCCAAATCGAAGTTGAATTTTTTTTAACTTGTCCTCTTGTTTGCATAATTGCATCTAGCAATTGTTGTTGGTCGGTAAAACCTCTTTGAACAACCAGTTCATTGCAAGAAATTCTAAACAACTGTTCTGCTGGTCTTCCAATTATGATTGCATTGGTTTCATCAGTTGAATCTTCAAGCACTAAGCTCACTTTGAACTTGTATGTAAAATTTAAGTAATGTTTTAATAATTTAAAACAATTGTGTTTAAACTTTATGGAAAAATAAAATGAAACAAATTGTTGAGATTTGTATTACCAAGGGAGAGTAATTTGATTATTGTGTTTGGGGCACAAAAGTTCATCATGGTGGGTAGCAGTTCTAAGTTGTTTAAAGCAAGATAGGCATGCTTTATACCACCAACCGTTACGTTTGTCAAAACGCGTAATAGATGCTCTGCATAAAATGGGAGTGTCCTAAAACATATTTTAAATTTTTTGTTAATATAGAAAAAACAATTATAAAATATATAGTGATTAGAGAAGAATAAAGTGAAATTTAGTTTAAATAATTTGTAAAATTGTATGTTAAAATACGAATAATAAGGAGATTAAAGAAAGAAGTTAGTGTATTTACCTTATGTGTATCTGGGTCAAGAACATTTAACTCTTGGACAGATAGCTTTTTAGTAGCTTCTAAATGTTGAGGTGTCATTAGTTGAGTGGCGTTAGAAGGCATCATTTTAATGGCATGTGTAGAGTCATTAAAGCTGTGGTTATTGTTATTTTTATATAATAAAAAGAGGTGTTATTTTAGGAAAATGGGGAAACAAAGGTATATGTTAAAACAAAAATGATAAAAATTCATACATCATTTTGTAGGCCGCCAATTCTTGTATATCTGGATTGATAAAAATTAATGTGGAGACACTACTGTTGAGAACAATTTTACCTACATGTTGATAAATCATAAATTAGATTTGTTTTTATTTGAGATGAAGTGTAAATAATAGGATGAAAATAAATTGGATACCTTGAAATTGTTTAACTTTCAGGCTTGTAAAAGCTGCAAATATTGGCGATGTCAATTGTTGTAAAGCTTGGGAATCAAAAGTCTTTGCAGTATCTCCCCACAGGGTTATTCTAACATCTTCTTTCCTGAATGATTAAATGTGGAGAAAAAAATATTTTAGAAAGAGACATAATAGTTTAAAATTTTAATTATAAACATTTTCTAAATATTTGTACATGATATTTTCAATGCAGACTTCACATTGATTCTCAAGCCTCTCATTGGTGACCATTTTTTTTGTTCCAATGGCTGTATTCCAGTAATGTGTCCAAAAACATCTTGCAATTTGATAAAAAAATATTATAAGGATATTAAAATGTGTAAATTTTTTGGATAAATACTTATTATTTATAGATGTATAGTTTTTAATAATATATAGAGTATTACCTGTTAGGATGTCAATTTTGTCTATGCGAGTGGACAATTGAGTATAATCGACCAGATAAAATCGATGTCTTGGAATGTGTGGGTGAATGGTTGGCAGTTCTTTGAAAGTTGTTCTCACATTGAAGAACAATTGTGCAACATGTGGTACAACTTTGTGTGATGGTTTGTTGCGACCAGTGTGGAAATGTGTTATTTCATAAATGCAACCAGCTTTTATATTTGGAGCTACGAAATCATAGTTGATCTCTTTGATGCTAGCTTGTATTGCATCTGTCTACATAATTGAAAAAAGAGGAGAAGAAAAATTAATAAGGGGGAAATTATATTTAAAAGCAAGGAAATACAAATATATGATAATAGATAATAGAAAATGCGTTAGACAAATTTAACTATGTTGAGTTTAATTTTCTTTAAGTGATGTTATTATAATTAAATTGAAATAACATAAAAAAGAGCTTTTCTTACCATTTGGTCAACCAGGATACATTGAAGGCCGTTGAATTGGTCATTAGATCCAATAAGTTTTGATCGCCACATTCTGCAGATACGTACTTTGAGTTTCTTGTTAAATTGAAACGGTTGCAAATCACGGATATAAGTAAAACTCATTGTGCTTTAAATCTTTAAATCTGCAAATAAAATATATTTTTTGTTAGCATAAAAATGCATGTATATATTTATTAAAAGTAATGAGAAAAAATATACGAATGTTTAATTATGGATACAACAAAATTGGAACCTCATTGTAAATTTTGAAGAACATCTTTATACACTATGTTTTTAGTGTAATTATTTGGCACTTCTTTATTATTTTCTATTATGATTTTAAGACCTTACCTTGACATTGCATAACACGGTCTAATTGGGAATTGGCGCCTTTTAAAAATGAAAGGTCATTTGTTTTCAGTTGCTGTAAGGCTTATTCGAGGTATGAAAACTTTGTGACCAATGTTACTACCAGTAAGTATTAATGATTAAACAGTATATATATACTAATATAAAGCCTTGTTAAATCGATATGTATAATTGAGACATTTAACTCAAAATTTATAATCAACCAAGTTCACCATATTAATGATTTAGGTAAAATGTTCAATGAGAACATCATGGGGAAAAAATTTAGCATCAAAGCATATCCAACTTGTATCCATCAACAAAATAAAAATTACTTCTAAATAACTTGTATGGAAGCACAATCGATGAAAATAAAATATAAAATCTTACAAAAGGATTAAAGTAGTTTTCAATCCGAATACTCAAATTCATAAAGCAAAAGTATTTAACTTTATACATCAATTAAAATCTATAGATAAAATTTAAGTAATTCGAAACATTAGCAATTTAACAATTACAATAATAAGTTGTTCTTAAAGATGTATCATTTAAACCTATCATAAAAATAAGAAATAAATCAATTTGGGCAAGAAAAAGAATATATTCTTCTGCTCACTATTCATTTCAATAAAACACACTCTCCTCCTATTCCCTTTTCACCTGTCTTTTTCGTCATCAATTTAACCATCATCTCCTCCTCCATCTTTCTTCTTCTCCTTCTTTTCCTTCTTTTCCTTCTTGCCTCAGACTCAAAACTTGTAGGCTTTAACCATGTGGAAAACAATCAAAATACTCAAATCGTAATCAACTAGCAATGGTGCCCGCGCGATGCAGCGGGTTTTAAAACCGTGTGAAATGTGTAGGAAAGACGGTACTATTTATATAGACATGGAGATCTAAATAGTGGCATCATGCTTTGTTTAGCAAGTCTAAGTTACAAAAAATAGGATAATAACATGTTTTTTATGCTGTTTGTCATGATTAAAATACTGACCATATTTTAATAAATCAAGTAGCATTCAAAACATCAAAATATCGACAATATTGAGCAGCTCATTGTTCAAAAGAGTTTGGATAGGTCTTTATATATATGCTACTGGGTGGTGGAAGAGGATTTTTCTGCCTTGATCTCTGTTAGAAGGGGTTCTTTCTCTTGTTAGCTCTGCTGTAGAGGTGGCTTATGTTCTTTCTTGTCCTCTGTAGAGGTTTTAACTCTGTTGGTACAAATTTGGAAAATGACAGGTGTTAATGTAAGCAGAATAAAGGCAGAAATAACAAGCTATAGGTTATAGTTTTGTTCATTACATCTAAAACATCTTATAAGGCCATCAAATTAGTATTAGGGCACCAAATTTAAACACCACATTAGTATTAGGCCATCAAATTTTTTCCATCTCTTTCATTTTTAAACTTTAATGGGTTTGAACAAAATGTACTCACATCACCTACCCCTCAATTGGTGGGAACAGTTTTTTCACTAACGCCCTTAAATATGTAAATAACTACATTTAAAAAGTAGGCAAACAGATAATAAACAAACAGGAATTCTCATGTTTCACCAAAAACAAACAGTTTCACCTCTGAGCAACAATAAATTGCAGAAATTGTAAATTGAAATAAAGTTATGTTCCTGTATTCAATGAAAGAGAGCAAACTTACATTTGAATCTGCAGTGAAGTTGAAATACTGGAATAAGATTCCCAAGACCAAGAAAACAATTCCAAAAATAATACCCAATGACTCAGGCCTGCAAAACACAAATGGAACATTAACTATCAAAGATAAGTTGGGGGTATGAAACATCATACTAATATAATAGACTATTTATATTTTGGAAAAGCAAAAAGAGGATCTTCTCCGGTGCACACTTCATAATATTTGGATTTTGCATTTTCTAAAACAAACCTTCTGACATGGAAATCCAGATTTCTCACTAAAATTAATTTCTAGGGAATACAAAAGGAAAAACCAAAGTCAAAACTATGGATGATAATCACTGTGCCTTAATTGTCTAAATCACTGATGCTGCAAATCATCAAATTTTCCATAAACAGTCTAAACAATGAGCTCCAAAGACTCAATAACATAGATGAAAGAGTTGAGCTGCAAATTTAGCATGCAGCAGAACCTATATAATTTTGGTTTTCCATGTGAGATAAGACAGAGTCTCAATTAATTAATCCGTTGCAACACTGTTTTGGATATGAAGGAATATAAAAAATATGGACCCCAACAGAAATCACAACCTCTGCTACATTTCCTTTTCTCATACCAACAAATGGAAACATGAAAATATGAGGATATGAAGCGAAGACTGGTTTGTTTTCAAATTCATTCAGGGGACAATGACATCTTAATTGTGAGCGAAGACAGTTCCTACAACTCTGTCCTTGTGTATCATAAAGTTCTAATTCATCAAAATTATCTATCAGCCTCAGCATGTAGAATGCGAGACAGCGGTCTGCTTATATACCAAAAAACAAATAGACACACAAACACATATGTATTACAACTAAAATTATTACAGTTGTGGTTCATTAGGCACAAATAACTTGAGTTTAATTAATTAGCACCACAATAAATAAGTCAATAATCTGAAGCCACCATAATACCAGGTTCACATGATGCCTTAAATCTTAAACCTAAAAATTGGTTAGAATATTACTCTGGAGAAGTTTTATGTGCTGGTTCCACTTTCAGTTTTTGAAGCTGACCAATAAAGAAAATATCGACCTCATTCAATGCAATGTGAGAACAAAAACTCAACAAAAGTACTTGCAGCACAGAGTGCTTCAAAATTTACCTGAAACGCATTTGGAAAAAGAGGAAATTGCCTTAAGAAGCTCCCGAGTTTGTCAACTGCATGAATCAACACATTACTGGAGAATTCACAATTTCTTGATTTTTGGGGCTGAAGCTGCGTTACCAGAAAACCCACCTGAGTTATAAAAAAATATAAACCTCGAAAGTAAAAGAAATAGATCTCACTGGACCTGAGAACTAATGAAGAATTCTAAAGTTAATTTTAAATTCCAATGCTAAATATATTGGCTCCTCAATCAATGTCATGGCTAGAATGATAGTTATCCACATCAAGTAAAAAGTTCCCTGTAAAAGTTAAAAAAAAGCATGAACTCATGACCTACAGGGATTTTATTCAACCCTTTGGGCTCCAAAGCAACATCCTCAAGAAGATACTGAAATACAATGTGGGGTAAAACAACACAAAAATGTAATGAATATTTCGTAAAGTTCTTCAACAAAAGCATATAAATATCATCTTTATGAGGGCTCATACACGAAAGATGGATTGAAATCGCCTTGTATTTGATTATCAATCCTGAAAATATGCAGAGAGTGCCGTTAATAAGTTTGTTAAACTAAATGGAGAATAAATTATATATTGTGTGGAAGCACAAATTAAACCTAGTAACTTTTTTTTTCGGTTACAATTAAACCTAGTAACTTTGAAAAGGAAGAAAAAGAACAAATTTGATTATCCAAATATGCTATTTGTCATTATATATATGGATAGGAGCAGCCAGAAGACGAATGCTATTTGAAAAACAACAATATAATATTTGACATATAATCATATTCTCTGTTTCATCAGTCATTCAAATCTTCCCTTTCAGAAAGCCAATTTTAAACAGAGTAAATAAAGTCCAAAAGGTCAGTTTCCTTGAGATCAAAATCCGTCTGATTTTGTGCGGTAGCCGTAGTGGGTTGGGCTTGAACACACATTAGCGTCACCTGCATGGAATGGATCAAAATCCTAACCAATTTTTATCAAACACCTTCTCTGCTACTTGAGCTAATTCCTAGAGCATACACCGAAATTATTTTTCCAAGAGTATCAAGTAAATCTGAGTAAACTTAACTATGAGCAAACCATGCGTATATGGTAAATAAAAATTCATGAAATGAAGTGGAAAAATCATGTACCTGACGGATAACAGTGGTGGATATGCACATTGTGGATGATGACATTGCTTATGAACTGCAATGTGATGCAGCCACCACCCACAATGTGGACATTGGCTCCACTGCCATTAAGGGTCTTGCAGCTGTTGAAGATGAGCTCTTGGGAGAGCTTGATGAGCATGTTGCCAGGGAACACAATCCATAGAGGCTCAGTCTGTATCACAGCATATCTCAGAGTGCCTGGCCTTGGATTCACAGCATCATCATTAGAAGAGTCTGTGACAACATCATACTCACCACCTTTGCCTCCAAGAGCATATTGGCCAAACCCAATTGCACAATCTGCTAAGTTCTGCCTGTTGTCTGGCCAATTTGGGTCACATTCCCAACAGTCATCTATTGGGTTTCCTATTAGGCATGAAGAGTCCTGGTATTTTTGGGTTCCTTGCAGCATTTGCCTTCTTGCCAAAGAAGCATAAACCTTCCTGAAAAATAAAGGGAAAAAAGAAGTAAAGATTGATAACTCAGATCTACAAAAGGCTGAGAAACAGAAGAAAACAGAGAAAAAAAAAACAGAGGAGGTAATTAAAGCTATGTATTTACCTATGAACTTCTTGAACAACAACTTCTGGGTTGGGATGTTGGCCAGGAAGAGCGAGGTTGAGGAATGCTGTGGCAAGAGAAGAAAATGAGCAGAGAAGAAAGAGCAGGGCAATGCAGGTAATACAACAAATTTTACAGCTTGCTATACAATTGCAATACTATATCGAGAGAATGTGGTTCCACCATTTTATAATCAAGGGCTGTATATGCTATAGAAAGCTAGTCTGTGTGAGCTGTATGTGAAAATGACATAACAGGATTCTCAGTAATTGACAGTAATCAAGAATCTTATGCATCTTCAAGGTCAAAGAGAGACTCCAAAAAGGGAACGCAAGATAAGTACAAACAGGAAAAAAAAATCAGCCACAGAAAAAATCTATAACCACACGGAAACAGAAAATCTATAACATCTATTAGAATTATAATTCTGATCTGGAGTCATAAAAAAAAAGAAAAAAGAATCTATAACCACACGCAAACAGAAAATCAGCCACACAGACATCAATTACCAGATTGATGAGCAGACTGGGGGTTCTCATATTGATTACTCCAGTTCTTTTTCCTTAGATCTTCCTCCCTGTAACAAAAAACCAAACTCAATTTCTGATTTAGTTCTCAATTTTCGACATGAAAAATAAATAAACCAACCTAGAAAACCAAAAGAATGTTAAAACCAACCTTTTTTTATGAAACCTAGAAATCCCTTTGAGATAAACCCGTGCGATGAGAAGAAGGATGAAGCGCAGCTGGAAAGATGGCTGAACAAACGAAGAGCAGATGAGGATGAATTCACAAGGGGGGAGAGATATGAGAAGAAGCTATGCATGCTTACCTTGAAAGTACCCATGTCTGAGAATTAGAGAAAGAGACTGAAACAGAGAGAAAGCTGGAGTTCGATCTGAAGAAGAAGACCAACACACACCACTCCTATAAAAATCGAAGCCTCCAGATAATCTCCAACGGTAGACCGGCCTCTTCCATCATTGCCCTGCAACCAGGCCAACCAACCTGGTTAGAAGCGAACTCAGCGTCTAATAGAACGAAGGCTCCAAGTCGTTACAATCGAAGGAGAGGGGGACAAAACGGGGAAGACAATCAACGTCTTCTCCTAGCCCCAAGACTTTGTCTGCAATCGCACATCCATAAGGGGCCGTTTGGTTCATGGGAAAGGAGGCATAGGAATGGGAATTCAATTGCTTTCCCATGTTTGTTAAGTCCGGGAATGGGAAACGGATTCCTGGCACATGAGAAAGTAGGGGGGAAAGTGATGCCCCCCTCTTAACTTGGGTTTTGCTTTCCCTCCTCATGGGAAAGTTTGGGAAAATGCGCCAACATTCAATGCACAATTTTCATGACTATTTTGTCCCTATGAACAATTTATAATTACAACGTATCATTAAATGCATTCTTTTTTTTATTTGATTTAATATGGATATAATTGGAAAATTATACAAATTTTGTATTCCATTCCTACTCAAAACAAACATGGGAAAGGAAACAAAGCGAAATCTACCGATTACTTTCCCAACATTACCAAACGTGGGAAAGGAATCTTTCATTCCCATTCCTTGGGAAATGACATGGGAATTGATTTCCCCTCAAATCCATTCCGTGAACTACACGGGGCCTAAGGGTTTTTGAGTGAATGCCAATGGTTGGTCTGTGCAAATAAACATATAATCGAAATCAAGATATCTTTTCATCTTTGTCTGCAATCGCCACCTACTTGTTCTTGATTGGGGATTGCATTTCACAATGTCTGGGTATTCAAAGACTGGATGATTTTTATGGGTGATTGGGTTGTTTTTATTTGATAGTGGGTGTTGGCTAAGTGTCCATTGATTTGGTTTGGCTATCAATTTCCCTTGTTGATTTTTGTTACCTGCGGACGAGGAAGGGGAGGGAAGAAGAAGAAGGAAAAATGAGAGAGAGAGAGAGAGAGAGAGGCAGATATGGAGCAAACAAGGAGAGAAGAAAGAAAAGAGAGAGGAAGAAGACGGAAAAGGAAAAAGAACAAAGAGAGAGAGAAGAAATCATGATTTTGCATTTTCTTTATTATTTTTTGGTATTGTCCTTGTAAAATGACAACCTTACCCTTATAATTAACAGAAAATTGGATGGAAGTGTAAAAACTTGATGACAGGTGTTAAATTGACAATAATCCCGGGCTAAATCGGCTGAAAAAATAATTTAGAGTGTGAAGTGCGATAGTTGAAATAGTTCAGCGGGGTTTTCGGCCGTTTACCCTAGATTCATTGAGATTAGTTTTGTGAAAGGACGAACAATCAACAAAAAGATGGTTTTGTGAAAACAATTAGAAACCTCAAGTGATTGTGTAATTTTTAAAATATCAAGGGGGGTTCTATGAAAATAGTTAAAACCTCATAAAAGGGATGTTAGTGTAAAAAGTCAGTAAGTAATTATGGTGTGATTGACCATCATAGTCTATATATCAACCTCACATGATTGTTGTTGAAAATGCTAGCGGTACTCTGTCCCATGATTGTGGCAGACGTTGTCTCACTTTCATAAATTATCTCTGTGGGGTTTTAGCTTAATTTTAAGTACTAAACTAAGTGACGACAAGACACAATAACTTGCATCAGAATAGAAAACCGAAAAAAACAAAACGGAACGAGTGGCCAAAATCACGACAAGAATTAAAAAATATTGGAACAAACTCTAAACTTACAATTGATGAAAATGGGAACAGAGAACTATCATGTACGAAATTGATAAAAGCAGAGAAGTATCTGAAAAAGCTCCTTAAGTTCCGGAACCCATAGTCTATAAACCACTGAACGCTTACGTACTTATGAATTCTGTCTAGGGTTTGAACGCATAGGTACAAAGAAAGTATAGACTATTGGTGACAAGGCCCATCATGTATGAAATGGCAGCGGTTGCCGAAGTCGCAGCCACTTATGCTGTGGAAGTGCTTGCACTGAGTCGTTTTATGCTGGGGTTGCTTCTTCCATTCTGCCTCCCCATGGGCAAATCTACAACGTTCTCCATAGGGGTAACCCTCGGGGGTTGACCATTTATCGTAAAGCTGCGTCTTGTAGTTTGTAATCTCAGGAGGTGGCATGTGCACATTTGGAGCTTGTGCAGGATCCTGAGAGTTCAAAAACTAAAATAAAAAAAGCTGAGTTTGAAATTCTTTGCAGTTTTTTAGGAAGAAGAGGGCCTCATTATCAGACTTCATAATCTCCTTGCATTAAGGCAATAAAAAATTCATCCATGCAATACAATTCTTATCAGTTTTATAGATTATATATTATCTCCCTGACTATAAGGCAATAAAGAAAATGGGGTTTTACAGTCGAATTAGACTTACCATAGCCATTGGCCCCAAACCCATATTTGGCTGCAGCATGTGCCCACCTTGATGCATAGAAATAGGATTTTGATGGTTGAGTGGATATTGTTACAAAAGAAAAAATGAGAGTGAGTTCTCAGTTCTTCAATTTATAAAACTCTCATTTTTTCTTTTGTAACAATATCCACTCAACCATCAAAATCCTATTTCTATGCATCAAGGTGGGCACATGCTGCAGCCAAATATGGGTTTGGGGCCAATGGCTATGGTAAGTCTAATTCGACTGTAAAACCCCATTTTCTTTATTGCCTTATAGTCAGGGAGATAATATATAATCTATAAAACTGATAAGAATTGTATTGCATGGATGAATTTTTTATTGCCTTAATGCAAGGAGATTATGAAGTCTGATAATGAGGCCCTCTTCTTCCTAAAAAACTGCAAAGAATTTCAAACTCAGCTTTTTTTATTTTAGTTTTTGAACTCTCAGGATCCTGCACAAGCTCCAAATGTGCACATGCCACCTCCTGAGATTACAAACTACAAGACGCAGCTTTACGATAAATGGTCAACCCCCGAGGGTTACCCCTATGGAGAACGTTGTAGATTTGCCCATGGGGAGGCAGAATGGAAGAAGCAACCCCAGCATAAAACGACTCAGTGCAAGCACTTCCACAGCATAAGTGGCTGCGACTTCGGCAACCGCTGCCATTTCATACATGATGGGCTTTGTCACCAATAGTCTATAGTCTATACTTTCTTTGTACCTATGCGTTCAAACCCTAGACAGAATTCATAAGTACGTAAGCGTTCAGTGGTTTAAAGACTATGGGTTCCGGAACTTAAGGAGCTTTTTCAGATACTTCTCTGCTTTTATCAATTTCGTACATGATAGTTCTCTGTTCCCATTTTCATCAATTGTAAGTTTAGAGTTTGTTCCAATATTTTTCAGTTCTGGTCGTGATTTTGGCCACTAGTTCCGTTCTGTTTTTTGTTTTTTTCAATTTTCCATTGATGCAAGTCATTGTGTCTTGTCGTCACTTAGTTTAGTACTCAAACTAAAAATTAAGCTAAATAATTAAGCACTTTAAATGAACAATCAATCAAAAAAGTAACATTGAATCAAATCTATAATCGGAAAAAGCAAATGAACCAAGCTAAATAATACTGCTTAAAACAATTATCATAAGCAAACGTATTTCAACCAAATTGAAATAATTTAAACCAGCACAGCTACACAAGGATAAAGCATACAATAAAGCAATCAACAAAGGACACAGAACGCCCAAAATCAAAATCAAGCACTTTTAAAAACAGATATCAAAATATGAACAAAATAAGCTAAATTCACACATGGGCATTTTGCAAATTGAACAACGTACCAACAATTTGAGCTTCAAAGACGCTACGAACTCAGGGTTGGTTTGCGCTTACTTCTAGAAGATGAAGGAGGAGGTGGGTCAAGAGCAGATAACTCATCCAAAGCAACTCTCAGAGCAAAGCTTTTGTAGATCATCTTCAGATGCTGCAAGACATCTATTCAGTCCAGAAACAGCTCTGCACCAGATTAACCCACACATTTTTAGGGGAAAAAAAAAACTATTATGAATATTGAGCAGATTAACACAAGTGCAATTCACATTATAAGTGACAACAATCAAAGCTCCGTTCACAAGTTTAAAAATAGGGATTTCATATAAAAAGAGCTGTAAATTGAAAATAAAGATGAACTTGCATATCAAGAGTAAAGAACCATCTTTTGAAATCAATTATAAGAAGAGTTCAAAGAACTGAACCATGCATCAGAAAAAAAAGAAAAAAAGAACATTCGAAAAGTTCTAATTTTGTCTTACACTCCATTATAATTGAGTTTTTTCTAGTCCATAAACTAGTTGGCTATTAAGCCTATTAATTTTATAGGGGTAAAAGTATGCCATCTTTTGAGAAATCTAAAATAGGCCCTTTAAAGATCTCTTATTGAATCTTATGACACTAGTAGCAGCCTTCATATCCTAGTGCCAGCATATTTCCACTCACAATTGTTAAACAAAATATTTTAATTGGTTTCCTCCAATCATAAAATTAATCTTCGACCAAGAAATATAAAAGCGACAAGACATTAATGGAAAGAAACCACTAGTTGAAAAAAAATCTTATATTAACAGAATCAAAAGAACAGTAGCAGTGTCAGTCGCAAATGAAGTTGTAGAGGAAGTCAGAAAACAGAAAAGAAAAGGGCTAGTGTTCAAAATAGATTTCGAGAAAGCATACGACCATGGTGAGTGGAATTTTGTAGATGATGTGCAGGAAAGGAAAGGCTTTGGCGTCAAATGGAGAAGTTGGATTAAAGGCTGCTTGAAATCTGTCAACTTTTCCATTATGATCAATGGAAAACCAACAGGAAAGTTCAGGGCTTCTAGGGGATTAAGACAAGGGGACCCGTTATCACCATTCCTATTTACCTTGGTTAGCGATGTATTAAGCAGAATAATAGAAAGGGCTCAAGAAACTAACCTAGTATATGAAATTGTTTCAGGACATGATCAAGTGGAAGTTTCTCACCTCCAGTTTGCAGATGACACTATCTTCCTTTTGGATGGCAAGGAAGAGTATTGGTTAAATCTATTAGAGCTGCTGAAGTTGTTTTGTGATGTTTCTGGAATGAAGATTAATAAGGCTAAAAGTTGCATTCTCGGGATCAATTTTAGTATCGAAGCACTGAATAATATGGCGGGCAGTTGGGGATGCGAGGTAGGTTGCTGACCTATGGTATACTTGGGTCTTCCTCTCGGGGGGAACCCAAGAGCTCTTAATTTCTGGAATCCAGTCAAGGATAAGGTGGAGAAAAGACTTCAAAAATGGAAGAGGGCTTGTTTATCCAAAGGTGGAAGGCTAACGCTAATCCAAGCTGTTTTGAGCAACATTCCTTCTTACTATATGTCACTATTTAAGAAGCCTATAGGAGTGGCTGCCAAAGTCGAACAGCTTATGCGTAACTTTTTATGGGAAGGACTAGAAGAAGGGAAGAAAAGTCACTTGGTCAGGTGAGAAAGGGTGAATAGATCGAAAGAGGAAGGTGGTCTTGGAATTGGCTCTTTAGGAGAAAGAAACGAAGCATTCATAGCTAAATGGCTGTGGAGATTTCCACTAGAAACCAACTCGCTATGGCATAGGATCATTAAGAGCAACTACGGAATCGACTCAAATGGGTGGGATACTAAACAGATAGTTAATGTGTCTTGTAGGAATCCTTGGCGAGAAATTTCGAAAGGGTATAATTCTTTTCTTCAATGCTGCCAATTTTCTGTAGGAAATGGGGAGAAAATTAGATTTTGGGAGGACCTTTGGCTGAAAGAAGGGATACTAAAAAATCTGTTTCCTAGACTCTTTTCCTTGTCTAGGAGAAAAAATCAAAGTATATCCCATTTTGCTAACACTCAAGAGCTGCCTCTTAATTGGGATTTTGATTTCAGAAGGAATTTGTTGGAGGCTGAAATTGCAGAAGTGGTAATACTTTTGGATATATTGGGGAATGTGAGATTAAATAGTTCTAGATTGGATCAGAGATCATGGGAGATTGAGGAGCAGGGTTCGTTTTTGTGCAAGTCTTTCAGGTCTTTTCTTCTCTCTAACACCAGGGATGTCTTCCCCCCTTTCATCTCAATCTGAAGGTGAAGACCTCCGAAAATTCAGTTCTTTGTGTGGCTGGCAGCAAATGGCAAAATTAATACTTGCGATATCATTCAAAGGAGGCAACCAAAGATGTGTTTATCCCCTTCTTGGTGTGTTGTTTGCAAAGAGAATGCAGAAAACACTGATCACTTGTTCATTCATTGTTCGTATTCCTTAAAATTATGGAGGAGGATGTTGGGTGCTCTCGGAGCGGAGTGGGTGATTCCTAAAGGGTGTTTTGAGCTCCTTAGTATCAAGTTGAGGGTTTCAGGGAAGGGGAAGAGAGCTGGAATTCTATGAGATTGTCTAGTTCATGCTATATTCTGGAATATCTGGATGGAGCGCAATCGAAGAATTTTTCAGGGTCATATAGGAGTAAGGGTTGAGGAATTATGGGATAGAATTAAATTTGGGGCATCTCTTTGGGCTTCGACTTCGGGGTAGTTCAAGGATTACCACTACTCTATCATCATGAGAGACATGATGGCAGTCTTACTTCGGGGTAGTTCAAGGATTACCACTACTCTATCATCATGAGAGACATGATGGCAGTCTTAGGATGATTTTACTTAAGTTTTGTTTTTAATTACAATTTTTTTCAGTCTTAGTAGGTCAGACACTCTTTATGTAGGTTTTGTTGTTTGACCGAGGACTTTTTTCCTCTTGATTATCAATACAATGTTTCTATTAAAAAAAAAAACAGTAGCAGAATTAACAAGCAACATGCTCAAGGCACTCAAACTTAAAATTGAGCACTTTAAATGAACAATCAATCACAAAGTAGTAACATTCAATTAAATCCATAATCGAAAAAAGCAAACAAACCAAGCTAAATAATACTGCTTGAAAAAAATAACCATATTCAAAACTATTTGAACCAAATTGAAATAGTTTAAACCAACACAACTACAAAAGGATAAAGCATCCAATAAAGCAATCAGCAAAAAAAGACCAGGAATGCCCGAATGCAAAATCACCTTTCAAAACACATATCAAAATATGAACAAAATAAGCTAAATTCACACATGGGCAATTTGCAATTTGAACAACGTACCAATAATTTGAGCTTCAAAGATGCTACGAGCTCGGGGTTGGGTGTGTGTTTACTTCCAGAAGTGAAGGAAGATGTGGGTCAAGAACAAAGACCTTGTCCAAAGCAGCTCTCAGAGCAAAGCTTTTGTAGATCATCTTCAGATGCTGCAAGACATCTATTTACTCCAGAAACAGCTCTGCAACAGATTAACCCACACATTTTTAGGGAAAAAAAAAAAACAAAAAAAACAATTATGAATATTGAGCAGAATAACACACTGCACGCAATTCACATTATAAGTGACAACAATCAAAGCTCCGTTCATGCAAAAAGAGCTGTAAATTGAAAATACAGATGAACCTGCATATCAAGAGTAAAGAACCTTCTTTTGAAATCAATTATAAGAAGAGTTCAAAGAACTGAATCATGCATCAGAAAAAAAAAATATAAAAAAAAAGATGATAAAATAAAAAAATGAACAATCGAAAAGTTCTAATTTTGTGTCTTACACTCCATGATAAACTAGTTGGCTATTAAGCCCATTATTTTTACAGGGGGTAGAAGCATGCCATCTGTTGAAGCTTTTAAAATAGGCTTTTTCAAGATCTCTTATTGAATCTTATGACACTAGTAGCAGCCTTCATATCCTGGTTCCGGCATATTTAACACACAATTGTTAAACACAAAAATGTTAATTGGTTTCCTCCGATCATAAAATCAATCTTCTACTATAAAATACAAAAGTGACAAAGCTTTACTAGAAACAGACCACCAGCCGAAAAAAATCTTATATTAACACCCACAGGGATCTTTTTTTGCATAAGAATCAAAACCTAAAGTACAGTAGGAGAATTAACAAGAAGAAACATGCTCAAGGAACTCAAACTTAAAATTAAGCACTTTAAATGAACAATCAATCAAAAAAGTAACATTCAATCAAATTCATAGTTGGAAAAAGCAAAGAAACCAAGCGAAATAATACTGCTTAAAACAATTATCATAAGCAAACGTATTTCAACCAAATTGAAATAATTTAAACCAGCATAACTACAAAGGGATAAAGCATACAATAAAGCAATCAACCAAGGACACAGAACGCCCAAAAGCAAAATCAAGCACCTTTAAAAACAGATATCAAAATATGAACAAAATAAGCTAAATTCACACATGGGCATTTTGCAATTTGAACAACGTACCAACAATTTGAGCTTCAAAGACGCTACGAACTCAGGGTTGGTTTGCGCTTACTTCCAGAAGACGAAGGAGGAGGTGGGTCAAGAGCAGATACCTCATCCAAAGCAGCTCTCAGAGCAAAGCTTTTCATGTGATGGGGCCGGACCATCACTTTGGTGGATTATATAACGCCCAAATGAAAAATCAAGAACCTTTAAAAATACACATCAAAATATGAGATAAATAATACTGCTTGAAAAAAATAACCATAATCAAAACTATTTGAACCAAATTAAAATAGTTTAAACCAACACAGCTAGACAAGGATAAAGCATACAATAAAGCAATCAACCAAAAAATACCCAGAACGTCCGAATGGAAAATCAAGCACCTTTAAAAACACATATCAAAATATGAACAAAATAAGCTAAATTCAAACATGGCAATTTGCAATTTGAACAACGTACCAATAATTTGAGCTTCAAATACGAGATCAGGGTTGGGTAGGTTTGCCAGGATGAAAATGAATGAGAGAGAGAGAGGAGATGATGCTGAGAAGAAGAAGAATAAGAGAAAGAGTTGTTGAAGAGAGAAGGGAGAAGGCGGCTCAAAGAAAGTGAAGTGGAGTGAGAGAGGTGAAGTAGGGTTATGGAATGGCCTTTGAAAATAAAAGGTTTATGGACTTTTAGGGGGGTGTATTCAATTAGGATTCTAAAGCGTTTAAAAAGATTTTAAAAATCCGGTTGTATTCAATTTGGATTTAGACAAACTTTTAAAAAGTCTAGAACAGTTTGGGTGTATTCAATCTAGAATTGTTTGAACGTTTAAAATGTCCATCTAAATGTGGGTGTATTCAATTAGGACTTGGAAAAAGTCCAAATAAATTTACCTGTATTCAAAAGGAGATAGATTTGGAAAGATTTAAATTAAGTGTTGGAGTTTGGAGAATTTGTAGGGTTTAGGTATAAATAATAAAGGCCAACATAAGTCCAACCTCCACCCCAAAGATTTCAGACGACGTATTTTTTTTATAATGATTTCAATCCAGGGTCTTAGGCTCCAAAATTGGCCGGAGGTATACATGGGAGGTTTACATGGTGAGGTTGGTGCTGAGGGTATATTAGGAACAGGGGTGGCGGTGAAAAGCAAAAGAATCATGTAGCTTTCTTTTATGGGCTTCTTCCTCCCTTATTGGTGAAAAGAGAAACCGTGTGCTCGCCACTACACGGTTTCCAAGTCTCTCTCTTTTCTGATGCTGCTAGCTTTGGTTCTTCTTGTTGTTTTCTTGGCTGATCTTGAGAAGTTGTATATTTTGTGATTTTCTGGCTGGCTTGCTGGTCTTACAAATTCTCTGGCTCTGTAATTTTTCCGAGATGAGGTTGGTGATGCGGGTGGTGATGAGGGTGGATTCGGAACAGGGGTGGCGGTGGCTTTGGGGAGGCTGTAGGTTTTTTTTTAGGTTAAAACCAGCAAAAAAGTTGGGGTAAAAGCGTTGGGGAAGAGGAAAGAGGGGAAAAAAAAAAGAAAAAAGAAAAAAGGACACACGTGTTGGTTTTTGAAGGAGCCCACGTCATGGTTGAGGAGGAATGGCTCCTGATATATCAAGAGCCAAGCATTGTCCTTTTTTGAGGCACGAAACTGGAATCAAAATCTGTCAAAATCTGTCAAAATCAGTCTGGTTCAGTTTTTTCAATCGATTTTGACTTTTTAGTCAACTCGATTTTTTCCGGTCCAATTTGGTTCGGTTGAACGATTCTTCGATTCCAATGCCCACCCCTAGGTGTGTGGGTGATGATGGATGAGGAGAGATTGAAGAGAGAAAGGGAATGAAGGAAAGAGAGAGTGTCGAAGGGAGAGGAGAAAATGGGTGCAGAAAATATTTGTAAAATTTTAAATTGAAACTGAAATTGGTTTCCAACTATATCTATTTTTTTGGATGGGGATATTGATGTGATGCTAACTGTGGAATCCCTGTGACATAAAAGTTTTTCTCTCAGGAGTGAATCAATTTCCGATTTTGACCATCAACAGTACACCATGTGCCATGCACATGCTCAAATTTAACAGAAAAGTTAACAAAATTGACGGTAGGACCATTTGTCCTAACAAAACTAAAGTTGAAGGATCACGAGAACTATTTTGGAAATTAGGGGATCAAAATGCGAATTGGGTCAAAGTTTAGGGACCACTAGACCTAAAAACCCTATGAGATAAATTATAAAAATAAAAAAGGGTATTATGGACATTTCATAAAAATTCATTAAACTCCACCGTTCCTTATTTGCTTTTCGCAAAAGCCGAAAAAAATAATCATCCCTTCAACTGCTTCTTCAAATCACGTCGTTGAGTGACTTTAATTTTATAGAAAAGCTAGATTCCACTTTCTTTACCAAACTTGATAAAAAAAAATAAAGGCCAAATGTCACTTTTGGTCATTATAGTTTGCTTCTTTTTCACTTTTGGTTCCTGTAGCTTTAATTCGGTCACTTTTGCCATTGTAGTTTCATGATTATAGCAATTTAAGGACAATTAAAGAATTCCGTCAGTTTTATTCACACCGCTAGAGGTATTTATCTCCAAGAATTAATCATTTTATTAGTCCCATCAGCTTGAATAAAATGGTTGAAATGACAATATTGGACATATCTCATACTTAAGCCCAATTCTCCTTAACCCAAATAAATAGCCAAACTTTAAAGTTCATAAACCTTTTATTTTCAAAGCCCATTCCATAACCCTACTTCACCTCTCTCACTCCACTTCACTTTCTTTGTTACTTTGTCACATGGAGAGCACGTGTTATAGTTAGTTATCTGTTAATTACTGTTTAATTAGCTTTAGGATTTCGATTATATGTACTAGCCCTTTGCCACACGCTCACGCGTGTGCCAATTGGTTTTCTTTTTTTAGTTTTTAGAATTAAGAAAATAAAAAATGGGTAGTTATTTTCCGCAAAAGTAGGATCTATTATCAGATTTTGTTTTTAATTTTAATTTTTTTAATTGTGAATTTACCATATTATCCTCATTTAATTAAGAGTTTCAATTCTTAATATTTAAATTAACCAAGGGCATTTTCTGGTATTTTGAATGTTTCACAATTCTCTGCCTTTTGTTTTATATATATAGATATAGGGTTAATTACTGTAGACGTCCGTCAACTATGGCCCCAGTTGCAATTGGGTCCGTGAACTAAATTTTGTGGCAATTTCGTACTTTAATTTGACAAGAGGGTGCAATTAGGTCCTGCCGTCCAATTCTGTCAATTTGTCCGTCAAAATGAGGGGTAAAAATGTCCTTTCAAGTCTGAAGACTCTCCTTCGAATCTGAACACTCGCCTTAAGCCCTTGGCTTCGACCCCCAAATGAAGACTGAAGAACTGAAGGCATGAGAATGGGCTGCAAGGGAAGGAAAAATGTCGGAGAGTTCGACAGATTCAAATAGCAGGCGTCGTTACTGCGAGTGTGGGTCGGAAATCAAACGGCGGACTTCATGGACAGATCTGAATCCCGGAAGAAGATTTGAGGCATGTTGCAATAATTGGGTAAGTTTTTGTTTGAATTGCATAAGGGTTAATTGGTGTTTCGTTTTTTCGCATGGTTGGAGAAAGAAATTGGTGGATTTTTGGGTCTGAAATTGGTGTTTCGTTTTGTTTGAATTGCAGAACAGTAAGAGGGGGGTGCATTTTTTCGAATGGGTGGAGAAAGAAACATGCGCACGAGGAAAGGAAATCTTGCCTGGGTTACTTAGGAGAGTAAGAGCAATGGAGGACGAATTGAGAGCAACGGCGGAGAATTTCAGAAAGATGGAAGAAGAGAAGAATAAATTAGAGCAAAAACTGAGAGAAGAGGAAGAAGAAATCAAGATTTTGAAAAAACAGAATCTGGGAATGGGTCAACAAGTTGTTGTACTAGAAGGGGAAATTTTGAGTTATCGACAAAGACAAAGGTGGTTCTGGGTTGTTGTTCTGTTTTGTTTAATAATTGTGATATTATTCATCAATATGGATGATTTGGTAGTGTAGAAATGGCAGAAAATGGGCATAATGTTGTATATACTCTTGAACAGCTTTTGATGGTAGTGCAGAAATGGGCAGAAACCTGGGCTAAGGTTATTTTGTGCCTATTTGGCAATGTATCAGATTTTTGCTATATAAGCTGATTTTGTGCCGAATTGGCAGTGTATACCAAATGAACAGGGGCACATTACATACAATCCAAAAGGCTTCAATTACCAATTAACATTCACCAACTGCACATTACATACAATCCAAAATACACCTGAACATTACATAGAATAGGCAAAAGAGCCTTCAAAATAACATTACCAAATAGCATACTTGAGTTTATAATTGTTCACCCAAAATACACATCCACATAGTAAGTACATAAGAGTCCAAAAATAGGTCTTAAAAGTCCACAAAATCAACCCCAATTGACAGTCTATACTTGTCCTCCTCTTTTGACAGTGTGTTTGAATCTTCCTCGCACGGGCACTTGTGAGAATGTCATTGGCGGATTGACCCTTCCTTGACTGATATCCCTTACCACCTAAGATAAAAACCACAAACAAAATATATTACTATATAGGCAAACATAAAAAATCTGAGTTGGGCAAGAATAATAGGCAACTAACTGGTTGTGAAGATGACATCCTTGCAGCTGGATTCCATAAGCCTCTTCCTCTTCCTCGTCCTCTTCCTCTGCGCCCAATAACTTCAATTTGGGCTGGGGCAGTGTCAGTTTGAGTTGGGGCAGCATTAGTTTCAGTTTGGGTTGGGG